GTGTGTGTCTGTCGGGTGCGTGTGTATCCGTGTGTGTTGTGTGTAACTGCGTGTGTGTGTCTGTCGGGTGTGTGTGCCAGCATGTGTGGCGTGTCCCTGCGTGTGTCCGTGTGCTTCCATGTGGGTGTGTGACGAGGACCCGAGCTGGCCGCAGCGGTCACCGGTGTGTGCAGGTGTCCGAGCAGCTGTGGGAGGGAGGGAGGCCGGCCTGCACCGGGACAGGTAGGGTCACCTACCTGTGCAGTGGGGACGGGGTGGTGAGTGAGCTCTGCACACATGAGGATCCTGTGGGTCGCCGCGGCTTTCCCAGCCCCTGGGTTGAGGGTCTGGTAAAGCCAGAGCCCCTGAGCCTTTCCCACAAAGGCCGCCGAGACCCCCCCAGGTCTCCCAGGACCGCGGCCGGCGCTCGGCCACGAACAGGGCGCTTGGTCCCGTCATTCCCAAGCCTGCAGTGGACACAGCTGACTTTGCTAGGAGTGGACATGACAGTCCCATCTAGCAACCGCTCCCAGGGGGACTCGCAGCCTCTGAGACGAGGGGAGACGTGCCCTCACGCCTCACAAAGCAGCCGCCTTCCCCAGAGAGGAGCCTCCCTGCCCTCCACGGGCTGACTGATGTCCTCTCCCGGGGACCCCAGTCACAGCTGGGGTGACCTCGCTCACCCCAGTGCAAACACCCTCAACGCAGACATGGCCAGACCCATCCTTTGTTTATTCTGACAAAACTGACCACGTCTTTGGCCAAAGAGGGAGAAAAAGGGAGACAGGAGCAAATCTACGCAGACACCATAGCTCATGCACACTGCCGGTGATGCTAAGGCTCCCGTCCCCCTCCCCCTTCCTCCCCCTCCTCCCCTCCCCCTCCCCCCTCCCCTCTCCCGTCCTGGGATTCTTCCTCAGCCCACTTTCTTCCTCTTCCCCCACGAGCCCCACTTAACGCGGAGGGAAATACGCTGTTGCCGGCTTTGGTGGGCATGGGGTTCCCGTGGCCGGTGGTGTTCTCACCTCTCCCCTTCCGTTGGCAGTGACGGCGCGGGCAGGAGCGGCACCTACGTCCTGATCGACATGGTTCTCAACAAGATGGCCAAAGGTGAGGTGGGGAGCGTGGCTGCTTTGTGGCGGCTGAGCTGGGACCGCGTTGCCGTGGCAACCTGGGGGTAGTACTCTCCTCGGCCTTGGAGGAAATTGGCCGATGGCTGTCCCTTTCCTGAGTCACGTGAAGGCTGTTTGCGGCAAGCAGGGTGTTTCTGAGGCAAGCGCACAGTAGGTGTGGCTAAGTAGCTGCTGCAGAGGTCACCATTAACCTCACTGCCGAGGCGAAGACAGCCTCCGGCCCCTTGACGGCTGTAGCAGATCAGAGTGTCCTTCACGTGTTCCGTGCAAACCTCCCTGTTGCTAAAGCTGTGTGCAGAGTGCAGTACCGTGGGCCTGCCGTGGCCTCCTCCCCCAGCAACCCCTCAACACCCTCGTCCAGCACACTCTCACCCCTGCAGCCCCTGCAGAGTCCCCGCACGCACACACGGCGCGCAGGGCTTTACCCTGAAGCATTCTAACCCGGGAGGAGGAGGCGCCGGTCCGGCAGCTGGGGCTGCAGGCCTGGCCTGCGAGGGGCGCCCCTTCAGCCAGCAGCTCCGCTGGGGCAGAGCCTGAGCCTAGCCCCCCGGCCCCCTTTGCCCCTGTGGAGGTGTGGACGCTGAGCTGGTCTGGTCGCTCAAATGTGCTCCCCACACCAAAGCCCTGAGGTGTCTCCTTAGAGACCAGGGAGCATGCTCCACAGCCACTTTCGGGAAGGATTCACAATGGACCTGCCTCATGGACACGTGAATTACCATGGCAACTGAGGAATCCTGCAGCATTTCCTAAGCCTCCCTGAGAAAACACCGTTCTTCCCATGGTGCCTGCCCACATCCCACGGGACTTGGAAGGACTCGAGCTGAGGTGGGGACACCTTCTGTCTTTCTCAGCCGCGAACAAAACATTCTCTTCGTCTATGCGCACGCGTGCACAGGCCTGCGAGTTCTCACAGACAGGCCCCCGCCTTCCAGAGCACCCATCCTTCATCCTTTGCCCAGAAACAAGAGCAGGTGCTGATTATAGAAATGAGTTTCAGTACATTTTCACACAGATGCTGGCAACTCCAAACTAAGCATTTTCCATACTCCACTTTCTTCTGGTTAAAAAGGAGAAAAATGGAACGCATCTCTAGACCAAGGATGTGGGTGTGTAGCCCGCTGTTTTACACATAAGGACCAGCACGCCTGAGTGATGGATGCCGCATGACCGGCGACTGGAGGGCCAGGACCAGACCCCGGGCGGTGCACCCCATACCCTGCCCCATGTCTGCAGCCTCTCGGGCGGGCCACTGCAGAGAGCAAGGAACTGGCTTTGCACCATCAAATCTTATTTTAAGTGCCCTAAATTAGCTGAGCGCTGGCAATGTGCAAAGAAACCGAAGCAAAAAGACAAATGATCTGACACTGTTTTTAATGACCTATTTTGGTTTTTGATCCTAACACAATCCTAACATTTTAGTTAAACTTTCCTAACTATTGATGCCACTGTGCCTTATCAAATGCATCTTTCCATTTGCAAATTTGCAATTACTGGGAGCTCGGAGCTCTTAAGAGAATTTACCTTTCTTCCTTTACACCTGCTCCTCCTTCTCTGCCTGCTGCACACGTGGTATTTCCCTCCCATTAGACCAGAATTCCTTTGGAAGCCTGCGGACCCTCGTACCCTCCTTGGTATTTGAGTGGCTCCCGTGGTGGTAAAGCAACGTGACCCGGTAACCCACGGTGCACATTTGCGTCAGAATAGAACCGGCTCCCCCACAGGCAGCAGACAGACGCCACCGCTTTCTCAGTACTGTGGGGGTCACGTTGGTGTCCTGGATTTTCAGAGGTGCAGACTGCTTCACCAGAAGCAGCACAGCTGAAGAATGTGGCGGCCCAAGGAGCCGGCGGGGGCGGGGCTGGCTGCATTGTCCGAGGCCGGCCTGCCATTGAGTGGCTCCGCTGTAGCATGGACCGTCAGATCCCCTTCAAGTGTGGCCAGCCTTCAACAATGGAGCCCAGCCGAGTGCAACTGGCCGAGGAGGGCAGTCTCCAGGCCACGTCTGAGATGGGTCACCCCCATTCTGTTCTTGACCTGCTCCCCTCTGCCCAGGGGGCATGCAGTGTGAAATCCTCTGACCTGGGGCCTGGGCCGGGTCTCAGGAGAGATCAAAGGGCAGGGCGGCCCCTCGCTGGCCGAGGTGGGTCTTTCCCAGGCCGCCACACTGCGCAGCCGCCTGGGGTTTTGTTCTGGCTCGAGCTGCCAGCCTGGTGGGGCCTGGGCTGCCTTTGTCTGGCCTGAGAAGCTGGAGGCCGCGCTGCAGACCCGGCGTTCATCAAATGATCAAAGGCCCAAAGCCTGGACACGAAACCTTTCTTCCCATTTCCTTTTCTTAGAAGGAATGAATTGCATGAGGACCAAAGAATGCCCTTCCAAAGCTCTCCTGCACGGCCGGCCTGCGCGGGGCACCCACACCCGCGAGCCCTCGCCGGCCCAGCTGCGGCCGCACGCGCATTCACTCGGGCTCCCGGGGATTAAGGCCCGCATCCTCTTAGGGGCGAGAATGTGTGAGGCACAATTCAAGCTTTCTCCACTGTCTAGTTTATTAGCAAGCAGACGACAATGCAGTTTGAAATCAAAGCAAATAGGCTCCTGCTCTCTGCCCTGTCTGCAAAATCCTTCTGCACATCCCCTCTGTTGCCACAAGTGCACTTCTCACTCGCAAGTTAATGTTTTCATCAGAACCCGTTTTCAGGAGCGTGCTCCTCTCTCACCGGAGAACGAGGCTCAAGCGTAGTCAGAATGTGTTTGCCGACAAGATGTTTTCCAAAGTTGTGCCTTTTAAATCTGTGTCCGTGACATCTCTTCGGCCAGATGTTTTCGTTTTTGTTTTTGTTTAGTTGCAGTTTTTTAAAGGAAGTGGGTGCCAGGTGGAGGGTGACCCTGAGGCAGCGGCTACTAGCTGGCCCTGTCACTCGCCAGGGGGCCATCACAGATACCCACCCACTGAGCCCCACTGGGCCGCTCCGAGTGCACACCATGGCCTCCCCGCTGCGGCTCGTGTTGGAAAGCCCCATGGAGCTTGGGGAGGCCCATTCCTTTGTCTGCCGAGGGCCTCAGGACCGGGGACCTCACTGTACATGGGAATCAACTGCCCCTCGGGTGCGCAGGTGTGCGGACGTGCCAATGAAGTAGCCAAGCAGTGGGAATGTGGGCAGGCCTGTGCGTCCACGAGGCTGTGGGTCCAGCACCTCCTTCCCTCTCAGCAGCCTGACCTGCTTCCTGTTTTCTGTTGCACGGTGCCCCTCAGCCAACAGCTGCCTGCAGGAGGGCATGTAACATCTCCATTCTGCTCGCTGTCCCTAAAACTCACGGCGCCACGGGCCTCGTGCCTGGGAACCCCAGCATGTGTCCTTCCGTGACGGGATTAGCTCACTTGGCATCCTCCAGACTCACCCATGGCGCAGGTGGCTGGAACATAGTCCGTCATGTGGACAGACCACACTTCATTGATCCATCACCCCTAATGGATGGACGCTCAGGGTGCATCCAGCCTGCAGCCCCTGTGTGTCATGCTGCTGCGAACATGGGCGTACAAACACCTCTCTGAGTTTCTGCTTCCTCCTCTTCTGGGTACAGACCCAGAGTGCAGTTGCGGAACCACATGCTCATTGGATGGTTAACTTTCTGAGGACGTGCCACACTGTTTTCCTCAGCGGCTGCTCCATTTCACTCTCCCACCAGCAGCTCATGAGGGGTCTAATCACTCCACATCTTTTCCAATATTCATTATTCTCTGTGTTTTTGGAAGTAGCCATCCTAATGTGTGTGAAGTGGTGTCTCGTGGTGGTTTTGATTTGCATTTTCCTAATGAGTATGGTATTGAGCATCTTTTCATGTTTGTTGGCTATTTGGATATTTCCTTTGGAGAATTTTTGCCCATTTTTTAATTGGGCTATTTGGTTTTAGTTGTTATTGAGTTATAGAGGTTCTTTATATATTCTGAATATTAATCCCTTATCAGATATGTGATTTGCAAATATTTCCTCCCATAGAATGGGGAAATTCTATGGGAGAAAATATGTATGTTCATTCTCCCAATGGTGTCCTTGGTGCATGAAAGCATTTAGTTTTTATGAAGTCCCATTTGTCTATTTTTCCTGTTGTTGCCTATGCATTTAGTGTCCTATCCAGGAAATCTGTTGTCAAAGCCAGTGTCATGAACATTTTCCCCACATGAATCACTATATTGTACTCCTGAAACTAATATAACACTGTATGTTAACTACACTAGAATTAAAATCTAAAACTCAATAAAACTAAAAAACAAAAATAAATAAAAGCAATAACATATACATGCCTGTCAAAATGTTAAGAAAACATATAAAGCAAAAAAGGCAAATTTTCTTACCTCCTTTTGCCTTCATCTGCAGTTGTGATGACCCCTAACCTCTTTAGTATGCATCATTTTAGGACCTTTATATGAACACATATAATTTTTATCTGTTTAGCTGATTTTTCCCTAGAGTAAAACATAATCGATATGGAAAATACACAGAAGAATTTTTTTAAACCTATCCCCAACTTTGTTTCTTATGTGTTTACATTTAAAGTGTTGTCAGACAATGGCTCTGTGGAGGTAACACTTTTATTACTATTTCATAGGTAAAGACATTTGGGCTTACCTCACCCAGGGTCGCACAGCCATCAGGTGGCCTCGCTGGGATGTGACTTCACAGCACATGTCCTTGATAACGTGTCCCTGATACCATTGCCTCTTCCATGCCAATAAACAGACCACCCCATTTTTAAAGTTCGCAGCGAACCGTCTGGTATAAGAAATGCACATCAAACCCACCATGAACTATCACCTTACACCCGTTAGGATGCCTATTATTTAAAAAAAAAAAAAAAAATTTCCCCCTACGTTTTCTTGTAAGAGATGTTAACTTTTAATAGCAGGTCAAATTCGGAGCACCTGGGTGGCTCAGTCAGCTAAGTGTCTGACTCCTGATTTCAGCTCAGGTTGTGGTCTCA